AAAAAAAATTGCGATGGACATGAATAGTTTACAATACTTTTTTAACCACTCAGATTCTGCATTTATAGTTTAGTATGATGGACAAACTTCATCTCCATCAAGTAAAGTAATGTCTGGGGGATCTTGCATTGTGAATAATTTTAAAATGATTCAATTTAAGGTTAAAGCGCGGTGGTCGTCATGCAGTGCGTGTTCGAATTTCATGTAAATAATGTATTTTACATGCATTGTATACGTCGCTATGAGTCCCATATAGAACAGGACGCGGCACGACAACTGCCGCCCTAATGGTGTCCGATGTATTACTAAGTTCACAAATCAAAAACTCAATTATAAAAATAGCATTACTTATTTTCTCTTGATCAAGTGATTCAAAGTACTGCATGGTTTTGTTCTTATCTACATTGTACATCCGTAACACAAAACTTCAATTTTTCTTTTTCGATTTGCAGTTGGCCTATTTTTATTCTCTGGTTTATGTCTGTTGGGTTCATCGCTGTTCGCTTTAGGTGCTCATTTTGCCGGCACTAGTGCACTATTGCCGATCATGTTGGTTGGTCGCCTGCTGTTCGGTTCCGGCAATGGCTCATTAACAAGTGAGTATTTAGTGTAATCATGCAATTCAATTAAATTGAATATCTAGTTTTATGCGAGGGATGCAAAGTGCAGTTTTATTTATTTATTTGCCAGACAACCCATTAGCTTAATTGCATGGGGCTGATATAAAAGATATTTTTTTTTGAAGATGATTACAATTTGTAGCTTGACTCATTAGCCTTCAATCAAAATTTTGGTTCAGATGCAGGTGTGTGCTGCCCTCTAGTGGCAAAAATGGTAGAAGCAGTGAATAGAATCATCAAAACTAACATTAGTTTATTTTGTTCAGTTGTACAGAATCGTATCACAGCTTACTGGTTCAGGAATAAGGAGTTGGCATTCGCATTTGGAATTACACTTACTTTTTCAAGATTAGTAAGTTATAGCTATTGCTGGTATTACAGTTAAATGTATCCCACATATCTGCTTTTCGCTTACACAAAGATACTACTGGTAAACCTACATGTAGTTAGCTAAATAATGACTAAAAAAGAAAAATGAGTCAGTGTGGAAAAATACACTGCAAGATGGATATTGTAAGACCTAAACATTTAGGGTAATGCTATGATTGGTTGGGTGGCAGTGGATAATTCTATTATTAGTTTGTTTGCAATGGGTAATGTATGATTAGTTGGGTTACAATGGGTAATGCTATTATTAGTGGTAGTTGGATGGCAGTGGGTAATGCTATGATTAGTTGGGTTACAATGGGTAATGCTATGATTAGGTGGATGGCAGTGGGTATTGCTATGGTTAGTCGGGTTACAATGGGTAATGCTATGATTAGGTGGATGGCAGTGGGTAATGCAGTTATGATTAGTTGGAGGTTACAATGGGTAATACTATGATTAGGTGGATGGCAGTGGGTAATACAGCTATGATTAGTTGGGTTACAATGGGTAATGCTATGATTAGTTGGCTGCAGTGGGTAATGCTATGATTAGTTGGGTTACAATGGGTAATGCTATGATTAGGTGGATGGCAGTGGGTAATGCTATGGTTAGTTGGGTTGCAAGGTGTAATGCTATGATTAGTTAGCTGCAATGGGCAATGCTATGATTAGCTGGGTTACAATGGGTAATGCTATGATTAGGTGGATGGCAGTGGGTAATGCTATGGTTAGTTGGGTTGCAAGGTGTAATGCTATGATTAGTTAGCTGCAATGGGCAATGCTATGATTAGCTGGGTTACAATGGGTAATGCTATGATTAGGTGGATGGCAGTGGGAAATGCTATGATTAGTAGGGTTGCAGTGGGTAATGCTATGATTAGTTGGGTTACAATGGGTAATGCTATGATTAGGTGGATGGTAGTGGGTATTGCTATGGTTAGTTGGGTTGCAATGTGTAATGCCATGATTAGTTGAGTTGCAATGGCTAATGCCATGATTAGGTGGGTGGTAGGATACTTGATTGGTATATGAGAGTGATGATGGTCCAATTGATACATAAATTATTAAATGTGAGATTGAATATGTTCTTTAATTTATTTAATTGCAGGGTAGTGTTTTAAATTTTTTTCTTACAAGTAACTTTGAGCATAAATATGGTTTGAGCTGGACACTGTGGGGTGGTGCAATGCTGTGTGGCGTAGGATTTATATCTGCCTTGATTCTCAGCTTCTTGGATATTGTAGGAGTTAAACAACTAGGGCAGGTAAATACAAATCTGATTAATATAAGATCTATTGTCATCTCCCAATCTATTGTCGTCTCTCAATCTATTGTCATCTTCCAATCCATTGTCATCTCTCAAGATGACTGGGTGTGAGCTGGTCATAGACAGCATGCAGTTTTAACATTTAAACAAACTCACCCAGTCGACAACGTGTTCGATAGATGACCATCCAAAACATTCTTATTGAAAACTGGATTTTGATTGCATATTACATTCTTAGCTCGGCTGTCAAGTGAAGCTTATCATATGAGTGATTATCCGTTGTCAGTGTTTGTGTCATCTTTTTACTTCTTCTTAAAGACTACTAGCTCAATTGCTTTGATACTTGGTATGTAGGTATCTTGGGTGGACCTCTGTCAATTGATATGTTTGACTTGATAAAAAACGCAAGTCTGATTGCTTTGATACCATACATATAAGTACTACAGGCGAACCTGTCTCAGATTTGTTCCTTTTGTGATGATATTTTCAATTCTTTAATTCCAATGTGTGGATCGATCTCAGACGAGATGCTGCTTGTTTAGTGATTCAATCAAATTTGCCCAGCCCACTACAGTACATTTCCAGTAATGACTGATGACATCATAGCACTATATCGCGAAATATACACACTCCTGGATCATTTCTAGTGATGAAATTTGGTAATAAATACAGAATGGGTATTGTGCTTTAATGTCAATGCTTGTTTTTATTGTGAAAGACACACATACAGTTGATCTCACTTAGGGAGTTTTGCCCAAATCTTTCAAACAACAATACATTGCACTGTGTGTCTCCATAATGGTGCCTGTAATATCATTGTTAGAATGTTCTCTGATTGGTTGAATAATTTATGTGTGTGAGTAATTGTCAAAAGTTGAGGCGACACAAAATGCTTGTTCAATACGTCATGTTGCTTTAAATGTGAATGGGAATCTAGTGTGAACCTGATGCAATAAAATATTGTGTAAATACATCAGGTTCTGTCCAATATTTGGAGGTCTACTTGTATTAAGGTAGAAGCATTGAGAATGATGGTCATAAATCATCAAACCTATTGTCCCAGGGCACCATTAAATAACATTTTTTTGTGTTACAGTGACGTATTTTGAAAAACTTGTCCGAATATTTTTCAAAAATCGTTATTATTGGAACAATAATGTTAAAGGAGAATTGCATTGTTTACTTTTTAAAAATCTGATTTTTGATATGATTCAAACAAAAAATACCCCATCGTTTAATAATTTGTTTAGCCTATGTCACCAACCTACAATTTGCGATATGGTATTATAATATCTGTACTATAAGAAATTATGGTACAAGCCTTATAGTACTGACAAAATAGCCATTATTAACTAAAATACAGCCATTATTTTCAATGTTTTTTATGTCAATATCTTTATATTGTCTGGGAGGACAATTTATTGCAAATGAATAAATTCTGGGTATTTGCATTCAACTATAATCTGTGAAGTTTGAATATTTAATGACTTGTGCACGGGTGCATCTAAAATTACCCTCATTGAACATAGCTCAAAGGATATTGACAAAAACTATTCAGATAATTTGATATGTTACATTGCATTTATAATATCTAAAACCATGAATTTATAATGATTACTGTATTTTTTAAGAGCATGAATTAATACAATGTACTAGAAATGAATAATAAAGATGTATATTACTTTCATAAAATGCGCTATTACTACACAACATATCAGCTGTACTGCTGACATTGATGAAATATTTTGACTTGCACTCAACTGGTTTTGTACACTTCTCAGTCTTTTGAATACTCAAATCGTGTTCATGAAAATATCCAAATGTGAGATGCTTCTGCATCATGCAATAACTATGTAGTAGATCAAATATGAGTTTGGTGTTAAAGCATATGTGACCAAAAATTCTGCATGTCATTTGTAGAAATCTTTGGCAGTCTGAAAACAGGGATTTAACTTCTGTATGTGCAATTGTGGGTGCATGCCTTAGACATGCCTGGACTGATTACATTCAAACTTCATGCATATGCACATCAATTTGTTTTACAATCTGATTCAAGATGGCCGAATGGTGGCCATTTTTGTGCTGAAAAATCATCAAAATCGAGCATTTCTGATATTCCGGAACAGGATCTTGGGTGTTTACAGATGAATTTTGTTGAAACTTGGTACATTGGACATTATGGGACCTTGATGCATGTCATTTTATTTTTTAGATCGGATTCAAAGTGGCCGACAGGTGGCCATTTTGTTTCAATGAATGCGGTTCTAGTGCCATATTTCTGACATGTTTAATTAATTTTATAGATTCATTACATATCATGTCCTAATATGCAAAAATATTTGCACTAGATTTTAGATAGGAAAAAAAATCTGGTACTAAAAGGGTTAAGCATTTATTCAGCATTCAACACTAAATCCAGACACAGTATGGACAGTTCCGGACATTGAATGTCACTGTTGTCTTTCTTGATTTTTGTTTTGTTTGTTCAAATTGCAAGTGCTAGTGCATTTTTGCCACAGAAGTCATATTCAAGTTTGGGACTACATGACAGGGCTGTGTGGCTATCTCTCTATCAAATGTCAATTTTAATTATGCTATCCTTGCATTAACCAGGCTTGGTCAAACACAAGCACCTGTGAACCTTAACCAAAGTTCCCCCAAAGTCGCATTTGTGAGTGAATGAATCTTGGTCAGTGAAATGGGCCTTCTCATTGAGTCTGTGGCACACTCACCCAGGGTAGGGGTTGACCCTTTTGATGTTCAGCCTAAGGTAGGATTTGAACTTAGTTCTACCTGCCAAGAGTCTGATGTGACAACCACTAGGCTACTAGTTACCGGTAGGCTACCTTTGACCATGATATTGTACTTCATTTAGTTTATACTGAAGCAGTGAAGACTATACTTATTTGGTGACCCTATTCTATGGGTGCCATTATTAAATTTCACATTTGAACAGAAGAGCTTTTATTAGAAAGTTTTCTACATTTTTACAGATTTTGTTTAAATTTGGTACAAATGCAAGACATAATAAGTTGCATGTTGTCTCCAGTTATGACTGGTGAGGCCTTATTTCCAAAAAAAGTAGCAAAATCCAGACCACTTTAGGCTGATTCAATTCTACTTTTCTCCATTCTGCCCAATCACTAGTGTTTAGCCCATAAGAAATGATTTTGAAAAATTACCAGCCTGCACTGTCATTTTCAATGATTCTTTGTATTTTTTAGGAAGCAGAAGTTTCAGCTCAATCCAAAAAATTACGAGTACGAGATATCAAATACTTTTCACTACAGTTTTGGTTGTTAGCACTTAGTATAATGTTCTTCTACAATGGTGTGTTTCCATTTGTTGCTGATGCTAGGTATGTATAACATTGTGCATATTCTTTAATTGCTTTTCAGTGTCTAATTGTTGACTCCCATGATTGAAGCTTGGTACATACATGTAGATGTTCTTGGATAATGTGCAGACTTGGTTTGTTTTTAGTTAACATTCACGCATATTAATTATATGATTTGCATAATACTTTCAGCTTTACTACTAATACAGGTGTCTCATGAACCACTCATCTGTGTCTGTCAGTCTGCCTGCCTGCCTACCTACCTACCTCGCTACCTACCTCTATGTCTGTGTGTCTGCCTACTCACCTGTCTAAGTGTCTGTCATTTCACCTGTCTTTGTGCTTGACTGCTCTGAGCTGACCATGCTTTCAATAAATATATGAATGTGTAGTAATATAATTTTATTTATATATGTATTTATATCATATATTTACAGTAAATTTATCAGTAATAAATATGATTTTGATGACAATATATCATCTTACATTGCTGGATCTGTCTATGATGTGTCATTGGTTTTATCAGCTTTTCTTGGCTTAGGAATAGTAAGTATATCCACTGTTAAAACACCAATTGTAATATTCTTTAGAGCATTGCTGTCTGAACATTAACCCTCACTGTATCTTATCAATTGACATACACAATATTTTTTTTTTTGAATATTCAGTTCCAGACATTGAATTTCACTGCTGTCTTTCATGACCTTTGTGTACAATTATGTGCATGTAAATACATGTATGTTTGTAAAGATACTCCACATGGTAAACAAGTAAAAGGCAAAGACAAGTTTATTGAGCAAAACTGACTTACAGACGCAAACTACAAAACTAATAAAATTACAATTCAAAAAGATACAGTTCATAAAATCTACGAAATTGGGCAGGGGGCCCACTTCTACCCACCAAGACAGCACGTGCCCCCCTGAGCAATGGATTTTGGGATCCAAAAGAAGGGGGGTAAAACCTGTATGAGGCCGCCCGACCTTGAAATGCGAGTCAGGATGAAATCCAATGCTCAGCTGGTGGGAAGAAGCTAGCCAAAAAAGAGGGGACGAAGAGAATAAGAGAATACAATGCTTGAGCAGTGACACGTAAAAAACAATGAATGAAAACTGCTGAACAAAGAAAACAAA